GAAGTGCCACACCTGCACAAGGTGCAGAGGCTGTTCTCAGGTCCCACCTGAGTTGCAAAATTTGATACCAAAACTCAGTCCTTATCSTTGATGCAGATCCAATAATGAAGACCAAGTTTTGAGGAAAAATAAAAAGGTTTTTAATTTGTTAGCAAAAGATAAATGCAAGAGACTCACATCACAAAGGCAACCATTCTAACTCCCAGGGAGAAAAGAGAGGTTGAAAAGGAAGGCACACCAGGGTTGTTTTCTAAGTATTATTTTCAGTATATCTAATAAATTATATCCCTAAAAGATCTCTTGTTCCAGTTTCAAGTACAGTTTCTTTATTCTTATGGACAATGAGTGGCTGATAATTTGGCTTAGTACAAAAAGATTGTTAATCCTGCTTCCCCCACAGTTGGTGAAGAGAGGAAGAAGAAGAACATGTTATTTTTAAAATAAGCCACTAGTGGTCAGACAATAAGATTTGTATTCAATGCATATACTGGACCTAGTGACTTGAAATGAACCCTGCATATATTGACTGACAGTTCTAGAGGCTGGAATGTCCAAAATCAAGGCACATATATACAAACAGAGCCTTCTTGCTCTGTTAGCACAAACAAAAAGCAAAAGTACAAAAAGACAAAAGAGGTTTGAAATAATCCATTTATAGTGGAGTTATTCCCATCCATGAAGGTGCAGGCTTCATGCCAAAATCACCTCTCAAGGGTACCAATGCATAATACTGCTAAATTGCAAATTTCAACAAGAGTATTAGAGGATACGAACATTCAAACCATAGTGGCTAATCCACTGAAGACAAGTGAAGGAAAAATCTAAAAAACAGTGTGTAAGGGGTGAATAGAAATAAGAATAAAGAGAGTTTTAACATCAAGAATACAAATAACAATAATTGCGAGTGAGAATGTGAAGGAAAATTAAACTTATATGTACTTGTTGGTACTACAAATTGTTATATCTACTTTAGAAAGCAGTATGAAGAGTCCTACAAAGACTAACAATGGAACAATTACATGACTGCAATATACTACAACTTTCTATTTATCCCAAATGGCTAAAACCAGCAT